CAAAGAGGGGAAAAAAATGGCTGTGCTGCAGCCCTTAATTATTCTCTCTCATTCTAAGATGCTGCTCAGATGACCAGCCAGGATCTGAATTGGTCTTTTACTTTAGAATTAGGAATAATTACACTCTAGGACCTAGATTGGCATGACCACATTATTTCCTACAAGCTAATAAACAGCTTGTTGCATATGATAATGGTGGTTATTCCCCGAGTTGTTTTTGAACTAGGGACCTAGCAGTGGAGGGTTTTTTTAGTTTGTCACCAGTTCTCTTATCTGCCTAGTGTGTTGTGGAGCTGTGCATTGCTCATGTTGTCAAATGATCAGGAGAGGAAAAAAACCCACATAGCAAAAGCTAATGAAAATATTTAACATTATAAATAGCTGCACATGGCAGTTAGCTCAAAAGAGCACACAAACCACAGGAAATTATTGTAATTGTTTTTAAAAGGCTACTACTCTATGTTTTGTAAATGGTATCCTTGGGAGTCTCTCTGGATTTGTTATCTTTCTGCATTTAACACGTTTGCTAACAAACAAAAATTGATTTTTATTTATCTTGCAAAGCAAAGTCCTGGTTGTTTTCCACTTGATATTAATCCTCTTTTTTTGGCAAAGTAAATAATGGCAGAGACACCCTGAGATCCGATTAAGCCATAAGTTCCCAGTTTAAAGGAAGGAGAGATCAATATAATTGCCAGCTCCATTAAACAATTCTTATCACTTTGACTGTGCATGTGGGCATAAAGGTAATTTATATTTTATGTTTAATTCTTCCAGAGCAGCTAAGCTTGTTTAAATTCCTCATATAACATTTTAATCAACCAGCCACACCTTGAAGACAGAGGAGAGGAAAAAAAAGCTCTGATGAAACCAAAGTGTTGAAGTGGGGGGAGGATGGGATAAAGATCAATAACCCTGAAGAGAAAGGAAAGGGCAGCTAGCTATAAAGACAAAACACCCTTGCCACGGCGGGGTCCTGCAGGAGGGCCGTGATCTCCTTAAGGCCCCCCTCTCCGTGTCAAGTTGGCCCAAGGGGCACCCTCTATTTCTTGCCCGCCACGTCTTTTACGGTCTAAATTGGTTGGGAGGCTGCCTTATGCCCTCTTGGACATGTCTCTATGTTTATTCAGACCCCTCGTGGGTCTTGTCCTGTAAGTGGGTGCTTCGGGGTGCCCTAGCCTTATGGGCTATGCGTGGCTCCAACCACCCCCGATACCACGCCCCAAGCCTCGCAGATGGAATTGACGTTGGTCTGTCTCTCTGTCTATATTCACGCTCGTCTCTCAGGTCTTCTCTGTTGTGTTGCCCCCTCCTGGGGCTCTCCGAGCCCACTCGGGGCCTTTTCTGTATGGTGGCCCTCTCTCTGGGCCTTTTCTGTCCAGGGACCCTTTCTCTGGGGCCTTCCACCCCCGATACCACGCCCCAAGCCTCGCAGATGGAATTGACGTTGGTCTGTCTCTCTGTCTATATTCACGCTCGTCTCTCAGGTCTTCTCTGTTGTGTTGCCCCCTCCTGGGGCTCTCCGAGCCCACTCGGGGCCTTTTCTGTATGGTGGCCCTCTCTCTGGGCCTTTTCTGTCCAGGGACCCTTTCTCTGGGGCCTTCCCTTGCACTGCTGCCCTCTCTCTGGGCCTTCTCAAGTGCTGCCCCCTTTCTGGGGCTCGTCACGCCCGCACTGGGGCTTCTCAGTATAACAGCCCCCTCTCAGGGCTGTCCAGTAAGCTGTCCCCTTCTCTGGGGCTTTATGTGCCCATACTAGGGCTTCTCAAAAGTGCCCCTCTCTAGGGCTTGCTATGCCCGCACTGGGGCTTCTCAAATGCCCCCTCTCTGGGGTTGGGGTCCAAGCACCTCATAAGCTGTGCCCTCCTGGGCGCCGGGGTCCTCACACTCCGCTGTGAGGCCCCTTTGAGAATACTGTGCACTCACTGGCACTGGGGTCCCCACGCCGCTGGGGGTTCCCCCTGAGAATACCGCACCCTCACTGGTGCTAGGGCCCCACACCAGTGTGGGTCCCTATGAGGCCTCCTCCAACCCCTAATAGCCTCACCCAAACCACCAGTGTAATATCAAAACCAAACAGAAACTCGAGCCTCTTGGCTATAACCTAAACATAAGCCACCTGGCTATAACAACATTGCTTGGACCTCTTAGCACTGCCATCCTTTACTCTGCTAGAGCAGTTCCTGCAGTCAGGCTTCCCCTCATATCACTACTCCTGCCTCTCTGGCTACTGGCACCAGCGTGGCCTCAGCCCTGGGCTTTATAGGAGCCAGGCCCTGCCTCCTACAGGCAGCTGACCGCTGGCAGGTGTGGGTCATTTGCTCCTTCCAGTTGCCCTGGCAACCCACAGGTGGACTCCTATTCCCTGCTAGGGCTCTTTTCCCCAACAGTTTCCGCCCTTTAGGAGCAGGGCACCTCAGTGCTCTTCGACAACCCTGATACATGTACATGCATAGTGAACCCACAAGATTGTTACTAAGTATAGGACCCTCATTTTGTACAGAGTAGCAATATCCTTGAAGACCCAATCAGTGTGGGGGCCAGGGACAGAAGTTACATATAAACAGGTTTAAGTGATCAGAAACTAGTTCAAATCTGTAACACAACAGAAGTTCAGTGCACTTAAACTGCTTTCAACATGGCCCAAACTGGTTTAAGATATACCTGGTTGGATGTAGTATCAGACTGAACTGATTTGGGTCAAATTAGTTTATGGAACTTCTGTCCTAGATCCCTTTCCAATTCAAGTTAACTCTCAGTCCCCCAGCATCCTAGGATGCTTTGCCAGCCCTGGGTTGTGTTGTCTGCTCCAGTGGAACAGGGTTGGCCTTGCCCCTATGCTCCCTAGGCAGAGCCCTATTGCTGCTCCAGCTGGCTGAGAAGGAAGGTGGGGAACCTGGCTCTGGACCTCAGCTGGGGTCTGCCTGGCAGGGGCAGAGAAGCCCCTGATAGGCTTTTCTCTGCTCTCCACTTGAGTGGGGGGAATGGCCAGACCCTGGCCCAGGCTGGCACACTAAAATGGAGAGGAGGGATGGGGGTTTAAGCCTCCTCCCCCATGCTTGATCAGGGAGCAGGAGAAAGCTCCTTGGGCCTGCACTGTTCAATTTCTTTCTTAGAGACTTGGAAGAGGGGGTGAAAAGCAGCCTGTTTAAATTCACAGATGACACCAAGATTTGCGGTGAGGTGGGCATGCTAGAAAGGAGGGACAGGATACAGCTGGACCTGGACAGGTTGCAGGGGTGGGCGAATGAGAATAGGATGGGATTCAATACTGACAAGTGCAAGGTGCTGCACTTGGGCAGTAAGAACCAGCAGCATACCTATAGGCTGGGGAACTCCCTTCTTGAAAGCACAGTGTCAGAAAGAGATCTTGGAGTCATTATCGATTCCAAAATGAACATGGGCCACCAATGCGTGGACACGGTCAGTAGGGCTAACCGCACCTTGTCATGCATCCATAGATGCATCACAAGCAGGGCCAAGGAGGTGATCCTCCTCCTCTATGCGACACTGGTCAGGCCACAGTTGGAGTACTGCATCCAGTTCTGGGTGCTGCACCTCAGGAGGGATGTGGACAGCACTGAGAGGGTCCAAAGAAGGGTCACTTGCATGATCCGGGGACAGCAGGGCAGACCCTATGAGGAGAGGATACGGGACCTTAACCTGTTCAGCCTTCATAAAAGAAGGCTGAGAGGGGACCTGGTGGCCATCTATAAACTTACTAGTGGGGACCAGCAGGGAATGGGGGAGACCTTGTTCCCCTGAGTGCCTCCCAGAGTAACAAGGAATAACGGCCATAAGTTGTTAGAGAGTAGGTTCAGACTAGACATTAGAAGGCACTACTTCACAGTCAGAGCGGCTAGGATCTAGAACCAACTTCCAAGGGAAATGGTGCTGGCTCCTACCCTGGGGGTCTTTAAGAGGAGGCTTGATGATTACCTAGCTGGGGTCATTTGAGCCCAGTTTTCTCTCCTGCCCAGGGCAGGGGGTCGGGCTAGATGGTTTGCAAAGTCCCTTCCGACCCTACATCTATGAATCTATGAATCTATAAAGCCTGGCAGAGGCCGCTCCGCCCTTTCCAGGCAGGGGTCCCGTGTAGGTAGGAGAGGGGGTTTAAACCATTGCCTAAAGAAGCTTGCAATGGTAAGAGAAAGGGTAGGAGACATGGAAGGGCGAAGACAAGGTAAGAGAAAGGGTAGGAGACACAGAAGGGCGAAGACACTTCCACAGAGCCACAATACAGGTGTTCAGCTGAGTTCTGATTTACAATTCATGTCACCTGATTCCCTTTCCACAAGATATACTGCTTTTAGTTTTAATGACCTGTCTATCCTCCTCCTGCGTAATAACTACTTGCCTTCATTCACTCCTGTAGTTTCTCTTCTCTACACCAATGAGGAGATGGTTCCAAGCTTGAGAAAGGGGAAGTGAGGTATGCAATCTAAATTTAGAGCAGGGGAATTTGAATCTCCTATTGCAGTAAAGTCTACAGGTCAAGTGTGGAGCCTCATTGTGACAGGTACTCTGTTCACACGCAGTAACTGACAGTCCCTGCCACAAAGAGCTTCCAATTTAAGACATAAAATATACCAGGTAGACAGGAAAAATAAGGAAGTTAAAATAGTAATGGGGAAAGCATGGGGAGTGGTGGGAGTAACACAGGCAGGTGGATGAATACAATTCTTAGCTACTCGGGCGGATCACCTGGGGCTGAATTCTGGTTCTGTTGGTGTCTCGCTGTAACAGGAGGCACAGCAGTCCCTTTCTGTGCCTCGGTTTACTTATGCACCAGATAGAAATGAAAGCCGTCCTGACTACTTCAGTGTTAAACTTAATTCTTGAAAGCTGGTAAGGTATTTGGTGATCCCTGGACAAAAGGTATCAAAGGGGTGTGAAGACTCATTAGTAAGTGAGAATTTCTTTGGCTGCTGAAGGCAAAAGGCTACTCCTAATAACTGGGAGGTGAAGAATGCACTTATCTCTCCGTTCCTTGTCCTTTAGATACTTGGTACGGCTACGTGAAGGAGAATTGAGTTTATACTGCGTTGGCCACAGTGGAGAAGACAAGAATGTGGCCACTGTAGCAAAAACGATTCATTTGTCAGGTGGCAATGTCAGCGTCTATAAAGAGAATGAATGCAGTACCTTTACAGTCCAGACCAAAGAACACAATTATTTGTAAGTATAGGTAACAAATAATAATTTCTGAAAGCAGAGCAATTAAAGTTAAGGTCAAACACCAATGTGTCTAGTTGTCCCAGGAGAAGCAGAAAACCCAGGAGATTTTAAACCATTTAGATAACACCAGACCTGGCGTGAAACGATTGGATACATGAACCATATAAACAACTTTCAGAGTTTTGTGAAATAAATCCAATGTCTACATTTAAATACTGCTAGGAAACACTGGCAAGTTGTCACTTCAGGGGCCTGGAACGATGAATCATTCACTGGCTAAGTTAGACATTATGAGGAGTTTCTGACTAGCTCATGCACTGAACATGAAGGTAATACTTCAGGGACCATTCACTTCCCTCAGGAGGAAAGGAGGAATCATGATACAATTGCAGCTCAGAGTCAATATATGGCAAAGCTTCAACTGTTTAGACACCTAACCAATTAACTGTCTGAAAAGGTCAGATGCAGCAGAGCTGGTTTCCTTTGACAAAACTGTCCAACATCATTCTTCTTAACAAAGAGATAGTTGTTACATTAGTTGGCAAGTTATTTACACCAGTGGTTCCCAACCTTTTTTATACTGCGGACTGGCAAACTCACTCAAAGAATTTTGGTGGACCAGGTATAGAAACACTTTAATTTGCATATTTAAATTTAATTAGCATATCTCCATTTAATTTTTATGTGGGGTGGGGTTGCAAGGATTGGATTGGGTTGCAGGCACAGCCGTGGGCACCGGAGGATCCTGTAGGGGACGGGGCTGCACAGGAGGTGGCCTGGGGACACCCAGCTGGGGCTGCCCAGGAAGAAGGGGCTCTGCTGCCTTCCCTAGGAGCAAGCAGCAGAGCCGCCTCCCTGTCCTCCACTCCAGATTTTTTCCAGCCCACATCCACCCAATCCCAGCCAGGGGTGGGCCTGGGGGGTCCTGTCTGGCTTGGCGCAGGCCCCAGTACCTGCTGCATGGGCAGTGCCTCGCTGGGTGCGGCCATAGCGGTGGGAGTGGGATGGGGCACATGGAGCTGGCTGCCTCACCACCCAGGTTTAACCCCACGTGTAACTGCCTGCAATGGAAGCTGCTTGACAGATGGGAGTCCAAGATGGGGCAGGGAGGCAGGAGCCTGCAGCCGAGGGTGGGCAGGGAGCTCGACAGCCACGACCCAGCAGCCAACCCTTCACGGCCTGGTACTGGGCTGTGGCCCAGTGGCTGGGAACCTCTCATTTACACTACCTTGTGTTTATATATGTTCTTAAATTTTAGGTTTCGAATACCATTCACTGTCCAGAATAGCATGGCAGAGGATGTTAGCAAACTCCAGAATGAATGGGTATCACTCATTGGAAGGTATTGCCAGCTGTGGAAGAATTGTTCACAAGCCGAGGAGGGCTTTGACGAAGGTGGCTCAGAAGATGAATATCAGGAACTTGTGTTTCTGAATGAGCAGGCAGAAGCCCTCAGTCTCACTGTGGGTTCTGTAGAAGCTGTGGAGAATAAGTCTTCAGCTCCTCAATCAACTCCCTCAACATCATCATCATCTAGTCAACCTCCCACAGTGAAGGCAGGGATCCCACCCCCACCTGCCTTCCCTCCGCCCTTCAGCCGCTCCCCAGCACTGAAAAGAACAAAAGCTTTTCATTGGGATGTTGTTCCTCAGGACAAGGTGAGGAACAACTACTAGTTGGGTCAGGAGGGACAGACTTAAAACATGTAATGGGGTGTAGTTAGGCAACTACATTGCAAGCATAGTTATCAGAGTAGAACATGAAAATGAAGTGAGTAGGCACAAAAGGAACAGTGACTCAAGCTATGGAAGGGGTTGGACTAGGTGGCACTTGAGGCCTTTTTCAACCTTGTAGTTATGAGAAAAGAGCCTGATTGTCCATCTGCTCCCACCCAGTTCAAGGCACCCAGTTTGCAAGCAGATTTGTAGCAAATATTCAAGTGTATTTGTTGTGCAGTCGTATGCACAAGTTGTTGGATGCCAAGTTTGGTGGCATGTCTGGCAATAAACATACTTGAACAGGGGTAAACCTGAGAATTGTTATAGGAGAGGATTTGAGGGAATAAGTAGGGGTCACAGTGCACGCCAGGAACCTAATAGCATCTTGCAGTCCACCTGCTCTGCTGTCTCTGTCACACTCGACAGAGAACATGATTTTTCTTCCCACTGTCACAAATGGTGGCTGCCCTTGTTTCCCTAAATATAGCGCAGACATTTTTTGCTGTAGCACCCAAAGTACTCCAGAGGAAATTCTGCTGTAATAGTTTGCTTTTTGGGCACATCCAGGATATAAAAGTTTTATACAGAAATTAAAGACCAAGAAAAAGACCCGTTAAGCTACTTATTTCAGAAATGGAGTGGAGAGTCATAGTGGGAATCTAGTTTCATAACAGGAGAAGAACACTTTAACATTAGGCTGAATGTTAAAGTGTTGAGGCTGAAAACCGCAGCACTATACTCTTCACTCCCTTAGATGTAGTACTAAGGCAGACTCTGACAATGAACTAATGTAAGAAAACTCTTTTACCTTGCTAATTTTTTCCCTCTATTTGAGAAAAACTAAGCATATATATATATACACACACACATACACACACACATTTTTTTTTTTTAGATTCAGAGATCGATCTGGGCATCATGTGATCACCACAAGAGAAAATTAGATGTGTCTAGACTCTATGACCAGTTTCAGATGCAGGATGTGCTGGTATCATCAGGCAACGAACCTTCAGTGAATCGGGGCATTATGTTAAATAAAAAAATTGCGCACAACTTCAGTAAGTGTAATAACAACAGCTGCATATTCGTATTCTGAAAACAAGAGATGACAAGTCTGTGCATGTATTTAAACAATCTCATGGCTAAATAAGAACATTTTGTTTGGAAGTGTCTATATAGCAAATTTAATATTCTTCTGGCTCATTTGTAAAAGTGGACCTCAAGGTCAAGTTTCTCTATATTTGGGCTGCATAAATAACAATTCAAAGAACTTCTTACCTTTCTGAGGTATAGTTAGAAGAAATGGGGTAAAATAAAAAAAGGAGGAATGTGGGCTGAATATCAGGAAAATCTTCCTGACTGTTTGATCCACTAGGGTGTGAAATAGTTTCCCCAGAAAAGTGGCTTTAAGCCCAATGTTGTAGATGCTTGAAAATAAACTAGACAAAATGGGTGAACACGAGCTGCAAAGGACAACTGTACACTGAGAAAGGGGTTGAGTGGATAACCCCTTTTTCATCTTTGCTTTCCAGTCTAGTGTCATGCTTGCTGATATGCTGTTCTGCTTTAAGAAGCGTTTTCTATGGGTCAGAAATTAGCTTTAAAAGTCCCAAGAATGAACTTGTTTGCTGTTGCTTAGCATTTACTTCCAGAATCTAGCTGTCTGCAAAAGGTGATGGTATATTTATTTATGGCAGATTTTCACCCTCTTTTGTGCAAACAGCAGTTATAGGTCAACTAGTAGAGTCCCTTACTATCTTACAAGAGGGACATATGGGGGTCAGACTTAGAGTCCAAGGTTCTCATTTACTTTAAATAGAACAATTTAATAAGACAATTTATAGTGTTCGTAGTGTTTTGAAAAGGGAAGATTACAACCTATGGCCAATATTACTCACATGCCAGTCTCCAAACATAGCTACAATGTACTTGTACTGTCCCAAAGTGCCAGTGCATGATACATACTGTTTCCTTCTCATGCTGAGTTTAAAATATCTTCACAGGGAGAGCTGGGCTGATATAATTTAATGGCCATTGGGTTATTGATAAATCTCTGTCAGCTCCTGCGGCGCTGTCACCTTTTTTCTATGTAGGCACAGATATGTTAAACCTACTGATGTGAATTATTACCCTGAATGACTGGTCATCAGCTGGTGCTGTCTGCTTTGCATCTGGGGTACCATTTATTGGTTCTGCAGGAGGGTTAACATGGAATCAGTTCACAGATCTAATGAAACAGTTCAGTGGATAATCTTGACCTAACTCATAAAATGATGAGAAACTCTTTCAATTAGTCTAATGAGGAGTGATAGTATAAGAGTATCAAGAGTAATTGTTCTTCAAAGACTATTTTGATTTTCTAATAAGCTGAGATGATTTGCCAAAAAAATTATACAACCTAGCACTGTTTAAAGAAATGTTACCTCCGTAAAGGATCTGGGGCAATTGCATTTTTGAAGATGTAATGATTTCACCTTTATGAATATTGATAAGAAAGAGCACATTGTGAAAGGCTCATAAAGTTTTAATTGGGACATGTGGATTGAAATAACCTGTTGGAATTATGGCATCCACTGACTAATAGTTGGAAGTATTTAAATGAGTGATCGGAAAGTGCTGTTATGAATAAAAGACATCATCTAACAGCATCTAACAGTTTTTTTAATCTTCTAAATTATTCCAGTTTCTCTTAGGAAATCACCCACTTCTAGTGTGCAGAGAGAGCCATTTTCCTATTGCACTTGCTTTTTGTTGTAACTATTTTCATTGATCCAATGTCCTTTTCTTAAGGACTGTGTTATAGCAAATACGTTTTATAAGGGACTTTACATAGATTGAAAGTTAAATTGATACTAAAAGGGAAGTTTGATTGATCCTATATGTGCTAGAAACCATGGCTCTTAAATAATCTAGTTATTCACTAAGTTAAAAAAAGCTGAATTAAAAAAATGAGTAGTTTTCAACAACAACAAAAAAGGTAAAGATGGAAGATGGGAATGACTTGGAAGAAAAATAACTAAAATCAAACCCAAAGCAAGGCCAGTATAACCAAAAATTAATAAAATAAAACCGTTAGCTACTTCACTTTTCTTGCAGAAGAAACACATTACCCTGCCTACATGTCTCAGTAATATAGTGACAGGAGAAGTAATTTTAAGACAGTCAAAGAAATGTCTGGGAGCCAATGAAAATTTGTGGTAGTGAAAGAATGTGTGATCTAAAAGGTAAGTGATTGGCTTAGGAGTCAGAGAAACAGACTCTGCAACATGGCCTTTGGTATGTCTCGCACAATACGGTTTCCCACGGCATTATCATAACAAGCTGAGGAAATGCATAGAGATACTGTAAGGAACTATACTGTAAGGTGAATCTATAAGTGGTTGGATCATCGTGCTTAATGAGTAGTCATCCCTGTCTATTTGGAGGAGGTATCAAGAGGGATTCCCAGGTTCCTGTCCTGAGTCTGGTTTTGTTTAATATTATCATTAAGGCTAGGGACAGAAGCCTGAGCCTGAATTCATTCAATCTTTGCAGGTTAGTCTAACCTGGCTAGGCTAAACTGGTTTGTAAGTGTACAGACATCCCCTGTGGATTAGGAAATTCAGGCACTTGCCTGCAGTGGCTCTCCCTTTTCTTCCACAGTGTGGTGCAGAGCAGAGCATGGCCAGGCACCAGCAGGATGCTCTGCTCTAAGTGGACTCTGTTCTGTCTGCCTTTGTCCTGTCTACCTTACACAGACCCCTCTCAGCATTAGGTAGGATACCACATGCAGGTTACAGTCTGTGCTGTGAGAGAGAGGGAGAGGGGATCCCTGTTTGAGCAGTGAGCAGTGGGGATGGAGGGGCACGGGAAAGCCAGGTAGATGCTACTGTGCCTGCAAGTCTCTGCTGGAGCTCCAGCATGGAGCAGAGAGGAGGGACCAGCTCAGTTTTCTGGAGCAGAGAGCCTATCCCAGAGAGCATGCTGGGATGCTGGGGGACTCTGATTTCACTTAAACCGGGAAGGGGTCTGGGACAGACATTACATAAACTGGTTTGACCCACATCAGTTAAGTCTGATACTACATTCAACCAGGTTCATCTCAGACCAGTTTCAGCCATTTTCAAACTTGTTTATGTGCACTAAATGTCTTGTTCTGTTACAGGTTTAAACCAGTTTCTGATCACTTCAACCGGTTTATGTGTAATGTCTGTCCCTAGCCTAATTTTTTGGATAATGGGATTAGGTGCTTAGTAAAATTTGTGTAAGACACAAAATTTGGTAGAGCTGCAGACACTCTGGAGAGTGACCTGGATAGACTGGAAAAAAATGGTCTGCAACTAATCAGAGGAGGTTCAACAGACATAAATGCAAAGTCCTGCTCTTGGGACAGAATAATTGCATGCACAAATACAGACTGGGGAATGCCTGGGACCTGGTGGTTATAGTAGACCGTAAGCTGAATATGAGCCAACAAGGTGCTCTTGTTGGAAAAAGGCCAACAGGATACTTGGTTGTATTAACAGGAATGTCATTTGCAAATCAAAGGAAGTGATTCTTCTGCTGTATTCAGCACTCCTCACCTGGAGTACTATGGCCACTTTTTGGGCCCCACACTTCAAAAAGGATGTGAACGAATTAGAAAGAGTCTAGTGGAGAGCAACAAAAATGATTAGAGGTCTGGGAAGTATGACTTATAAAGAAAGACTGAAAGATCTAGGGTTATTTAGTCTGGAAAAGAGAAGGCTGAAAGGGGATTTGATAACAGTCTTCAAGTACCTGAAAGGTAATTAAAAAGAAGATGGAGATGGGCTTTTCTCTATGGCCACAGGGGACAGGACGAGGAACAATGGCCTCAAACTGTGCCAGAGGAAATTTAGGTCAGAGGTTAGGAGGAACTTTCTGCCTATGAGTCAAGCACTGGAACAAGCTGCCTAGAGAAATGGTAGGGGTTGGACAGACACTTGGCTGGGTTGGTTTATTCAGGGATAATCCTTTCTTGAGCAAGGGACTGGATTAGATGATCTTTTGAGATCCCTTCCATCCTTACTTTCTTTTGATACTATGTCAGTTCACCTTGTCAACTTCAGTTTTCTCATAAATGAAATAGGGATTATTTTTCCTCTGTTTAGATTCTGGGATCCAGTTCATTATAACATTTAGAAGTCTCCTTCATCTTCCTCCCTTTTCCTTCTATTTCTATATCTTTTTTCCCCCCTTGGCTCTGTGGCAGTTGTGACTGCCCAATCTGGTAGTTATTTTGGAGGGAACTAGCTCAAAATGATAGAACTTGACCTGTGCTGGGAAGCAGATTGATAATTTGTGTTCCTCTTTTGTAGTTTCTTATGAGGTTCATCTGTGCATGTAATTTTTCTTCATATTGCTGAAAGTATAGCAAGTAGTGCCATCCTAAATTGAATTTCAAGAAATCTTTGCACATTAGGGGCAGTCCTTCCAGGAGCATTATACAGCA